CTGCTCAGACTTTTCTCTCTTAGCTTTTATTTGTACATCCTTCCTTCTAGTTCTCCGACTGATATTTTTACAGCATATTTTGCCGGCAATACTCCAGCTGAATTTTCAGCCTAACAAAGCCTGGCACTGCTAGTGTTGAATATTTGAGTCTCAGTCACTCTGTGGAATGCCTGAAGAGTAATAGTTTGTTTATTTAAATGTTTTCAGCTAATGCACTTTTGGCGTATCACGTGACTGCTAGAACTCTGAGGCTTTCTATTTCTCATGGTTGTGAGAATTACGATGCTCTGATTTAAAGATACCCAAAGTTACTGGTGTTCCAGTATGAACTTGGAAGGGTCCTACACTATTAGAATTGTTCAAGATAGAAGAGTCTCAGAGGTTTTCATGTTACATGAAATCCAGTTATTTATGACCTTCTAGTAAATGATAAAGCTCAAACTTACTCTTCACTAAATACTGTTTGTTCCTTGTTTCCCCCTCTGAAGGTGAACATATGCTAGCAAATAAATGTTTAAATTACAGAACTGTCCAAACCAGATAATACCACCTATTAGTTACCACAAAGTTGCTAATGACTAGTAAAAATACTACTTTTTTCTATAATGTGTGCTCTAAGAAGTGTTTTCAGTCATGTTCAACTGACTCAGATGAACTAATCTAAGAAAATAACATCCAGTTGATCCTTTGAGACACAGCCTGAAGTTCTGATTCAACAAATCACAGCAGTTTATGATTCTTCTCCACTGGAGACCAGCAAAGCACACGTTTAATTACGTTGTTAAATTAGGGGTTTGGCTGTGGCAACTTACATTAGCTAATGGGAAAAAAACTCAGCCAAAAACAGAGGAAATATTTTAGTGCTAACATAAACAGGTATGAATATAAATACAAACAAGATTTACATTTCTTGGTTAAGAAGATGACATTTAGCTTTCAGATTAGAACAGCGCCCTAAAGATTCATGCAGTGTACTTGAAACGGCTTCCTCCATGCTGTCCGAGGAATGGACAGCCAAGTCCTCTGGTTTTCTTAGTTGCCAGCGCCTTTGATCGGGGGTTTCTGAAATGGCTAATCGCTCCAGGGTGAGAGTGCTTGAGCAGAAACACGTTGAAGAAGCCTGATCTGCAGAGCAAGGATACTTCTTGCCTTCAGAAAATCAAACATTTCAGTGCGGTGCTCTGGAAATCGAGCATTCCTGTGCTGTGCTTGGTCAGGCTGGGCCCCACATTGGAGCCTCTCGAGAAGCTTGGTCTCTGTGCTCTCTTGCACTGGCAATACTGGCTCAGCTACATTTATCTGAGTTAAAATACAAGCTCTTCAGGGCAAGTACCTGGCCTTTTATGTGTTTTGAAAGAGCTGTATATAATTAAGGTACTTTGTATGAAGAAATTACTTCAAAACAGTTTACACAGGGCAGCTATTTCAAGATCAAGAAAAAATCTTTAGCTTCGTTCCCTGAGGAAATAAGGCTTATGTGACTGGACTGGCTGGCTGGCTGTCCCTCCTCCCTTCCATCCAACACCTTTTGAACTTGGTGGACAGTTTAAACTACATTTTTAAGGGGGAGACGTCTCAAAGATAATTAAGTTCCCATGGACTTTATGAAAATCAGCTGCTGGGAAGAGAGAAATCCAGATCCACAGTTCAAATAACTAACTTTTTCCAAGCATGATCTCGCAAACCCAAAGCTTGACTGCAAGTGTAATAATGACTGTCAGGTTGATAATATAATCCCAACTAATTTAGAGGACTAGCAGCTATTATGCATCCAAATATTAATATGCAGATTGACACCATAATGAAATTAAATTTCCCCTATTTTGGTGTTTCACCGGTTTTTAATATGAACAATAGAAGCATCCTCCTCACACTTGCAGTTATTACAAATTTTCCGAGAAATTAGTGTTACTCATTGCTTATTGGCTTGCTTTAAGTGTTCCTGAAAATTTTGTCTTTTCACTTTTTATAGCTAGCAATGTTAATTAGCATCTCCTTATCCCTTCCCTATAATTAGTTAGTACTGGCAATACATAATGTAAAATCAAGAAATTAGATAGTAATTGGGCTGCATTACTCATGATTGTTGCATCTGATAGGGAAATTTATGGTTGTTTTTGTTATCGCAAAAGCGCCTTAACTGTCTGAGCTGTATGAACTCAATGCAGCCCTCAGCATTCCTGTATTTAATTGCGTGTTTTGGTTCTCCTGGTTGAAAGAAGTCAGCGAAGGGAGGGAAAAAACAGACCTCAAATTTTCTCATTTGCAGATTATTTCACGATCTCAAAAAAAACCAACAACCCAACAGCTCAGAAACTTATGCTTCAGGTAATTATCATAGACTTGCCTAGTTGAAAGCCACTTGGGGAAGATGACTGTGCATGCAGAGACAGGACTTCACTGGTGGTACAGTTGCTTATCAGTTGTGTGAGGCACCTAAGAAAGGTAGGGGAAAAAGGGTTCCCGTGGATTTCAGTTTGGTTGCGGTGTGATAGGCTAACCCCAGTTTTGGTTTTCTGTATTTTTCATGCGTTTGGGCAAGCCTCGCTGCTGTACACCGTTTCCCTGGCAGTAGGCAGGCTGTGTGGGGCTCTTGTGGAGCCAACACCACGGTTCACAACTCGTGTTTGGGAGAGTTTTAGAAAAGCCGCCAAATGCTAGTCTGCTGATGAAGCAGAAATAACTAACCTAATACTTTTTCAACCGGAGGAGGAAGCAACCGTGTAAAGAATGCTCTTATTTTCTTCAGTAGCCAGAGGGCCAGACACGCTGCGGGCCGGGCCGGGCCGGGCCGGGCCGGGCCAG